ACCCTTACCTGCTGGCAAAGTTTAAAATCTTGCAATCTAGATACATACATATCCAGGTCATTTAAGGTTATTACAGGAGGTAAATGTGGCATTACAGTTACTGAGACTTTTGGTAAGATGGCATTTGTGGTAAAATAGAAGGGAATTATTTGTTCACTCATCATTCTCGACCTCTTTGTTGCATGTGACACTGCTGACCGGCGGCTCCTACTGGATACTTTGTCTTCTATGAGTTTTCATAACACTGCTCTCTTCTGGTTAGCTTCCTATCTGACTACCCCTCAATTTCCTTTGCTAACTTATACTAAATAGCATGCCTCCTAACTGCAGGTGGTCTCCAAGTCTCTGTCTTGGGCCACCTTCTCTGTGTTTTCTTTTTTGGTGACCTCATCAGCTTCCATGGTTTAATTATCCTATCTGTGCAGATGATACACAGATCAACATATCCAGCTCTAGTCTTTCTCCTGAACTTCAATTCTGCATCACCCATGCCTAGAATGAACTCCCTCTTTTCTTCAGCCATATAAAGTCTTTTTCTTCCTTCAAGACAGAGCTCAAGCTTCTACATGAAGCCTTTCCTGATACCCCAAATACTAAGGCCTCCTGTCTTTAACTACCTTGCATTTGTTTTCTTTATACTTATGTACTTGCCCCTTCTCTCCCCTGCCACACATATTAGAATGTAAGCTCCTTGAAAGCAAGAATTGTTTCTTTATATTTGTATTCCCCGGGTTTAACACAGTGTCTACCATATAGCAGGTACACAATAAACAGTATTGATTTATTGACTGATTTGACTAGCTCTTTACCTCTCTGATAAATTCATTGCTTAGAAAGTAAAAGAATTGACAAAGATTTTGGAATTTATTCTGAACAACAAAGAATAACGATTTGAAGTAGAAGTGAGATTAGCACAGTATAGTAGATGTGCCTTACACAATAAAGGGATATAATGAGTGTTTCTTGAATAGAAGAACCTTAATAAAAAGTTATACATGTTCTTGGAATTCACAAGGGAAGGGAAGGGAATGCTATCAAAAGTGAGAATGCATATTAGACCTTAAGAAAGGCATATTTAGAGGAATCTAGCCAAGATGGTAGGGTAGTAGGAAGTAGTATATCTGAACTCTTCCACACAAAAATCTGGAAAACTCATTAGACCTGGTTCTGATCAGAAAATTCAAGAAAAAGTGACAGTGAGTTATTTTCCAGCTCAGGTCAAAATAGGGAGACACAGATCTATGGATACTGGGGGTGTAGTCTACCCAGGAGTGTCTATCATATGGAACTTTCCATTGTGGGGACAGAATAGTATAAAACCAAGTAGCAGCTGTGTGGTTCTAACTCTGGGAGTAGAGCAGAGTCTCAGAGGAAGATCTCAGTCCAGTATGAAGCATATAGCAAAATAATCTGGGCAGGAAGCCCAAACCAAAAGAGAGCCTGCAGTTCTCTCACTTTGAACCTTCAGAGTTTTCCAGCTGACTAACAGTGACTAACTTCAGCAATAGTATAATGGAGCTCAAATCAGTAGCAAACATATAGTTTGTATTGCTCAGATCAAAACGCAAGTCAGGAACTTGTAGAACTGAGACAAGGAGGATAATACTTAGATTTTGCCCAGGATTGGACTGCTTGGGGCATGCTAAAAACATGAAGTTTGCAGCCTGAGCGACATGTCCTTGAGATCTTAAAATAAGACAACACTCAATACACTTAGAAAGCAACCACAAAACCCAAAAGGACACATCCCTTTTCCCTAGAAGTGTACAAAGCCTGCCGCTAAAAAAAAAAAAAAAAAAAAAAAAAAAGGTCTAAAGTCAGGAAGGAAATAAATGAGCCAACAAAAAAGAATCCCTCTGTGTAGAGCTATTATGATAACAGAAAACTGAAGGCAGAAACCCAGAAATAAAGGATGATTGCAAAGCACCTACAAGCAAAACCACAAAGAAAAAAACACAGAGTTGGACATAAGTTCAATTAGAATCCCTGGAAGAGGCAAAGTAAGAGTTTAAAAAGAGCTGAAAGGATTTTATGAATAAAATGAGTACAATAGAAGAAGTAATTGGAAAAGAAATTAGCATGTTAGGGGAAAATGGAAAGGAGATGGGAGCTATGGAAGAAGAATTGGAAACAGAATGAACACCTTTGCACGAGAGGTTTAAAACCTTTCCTAAGCAACAGACTCCTTGAAAATTAGAATGACCAAATAGATGTTAATGACCTTATGAAACAACTAGAAATATTAAAACAAGGTCAAAAGATTACACAATTAGAACATGTAACGGTATCAAAAACACATGCCCTAGAAAATTGATCAAGGATGTATATTTTAAAAATCATTTGACTATCTGGGGAAAAAGAAAAGATCCTAGACAATATACTTCAAGAAATCACAAAAGAAAATTGCCCAGATATCTTAGAATCAGAGAGCAAAGTGGAAATAGGAATAATTTACCAGTCACCTCCTGAAAATAACACCCAAATGAAAACTTCCAGGAATTTTATAGTCAAAATCCAGAGCTCCCAAATCAAAGAATAAATACTGCAAATGAAAGAAAAAATTCAAATGTTGAGGAGCCGCAGTCCAAATCACATAAGATTTAGCAGCCAATACTTTAGAGAACTGAAAAGCTTGGAATTTGGTGGTCCAGAAGGCAAAATATATAGGCTTACAACCAAAACCAGCTTACTCAATAACAATGAATATCATCCCATAGAGGGCAAAATGGACCTTTGATGAAATAGAGGACTTGAGACATTCCTGTTGAAAAGGCAAGAGCTATATAGAACTTTGGAATATAAACACAAAAGTCAAGAGAAACATAAAAAGGTAAATATGAGAAGCAATCATAAGGGACTAAAAAATGAACTGTTTTCGTTTTAATATGGGGAGGTGATACATGTGTCCCCTCAAAATTCTATCATCCTTAGAGGTCATAGAAGTGTCTGGTAAGACAAGAGGGCCTGGGAGTGGTTTTCTTATTTTTAAGGATCTTAAAGAAAGGAAAAGGCGGGGGAGGGGAGGAAGTAATACACTAGGGGAAGGAAAGGAAAAGGGAGGATGGAGGAAATTATTTTATATAATCAGGGTGTTCAAGTAGGAAACTGTATAAACAGGGAGAAAGGGGGGAGGGGATCAAGCAACACTTGAACATAACTTCCATCTAATTTGGTCAAAAGAGGAAAGAACATACACACACACAGTTGCATGCATTTCACTCAAGTGGGAAATGGGAAGGAGAGAAGGGAACAAAAGGGAGGGTAATTTAAGGGAAGGATTAATCCTAAACAAAATATATGCTAACTATGGAGAGTATATCAGAATGAAGGGCTTAAGAGAGAAGAAAGAATGAAAGGATAAGAACTTGTGGACAGACTGGACAGGAAAGAAAAGAGGATTAAAGGAGAAGCAGATTGCATCATACCTAGAGTGCTAGTGCTAGACACACTCCTTTCCACTCTCTTCTTCAATATAAAGGGGTTGGGTGAGTAGAAACTCTGTTCAACACAATGACAATCATGATTCAGAAGATTCATGATGAAACATGATAACTCGTTTCCTCACTAAGAAGTGATAGATTCAGGATGTAGATAGATAGATATAGATATAATGTAACATAGCCAATGCAGGAATTTATTTTGCTTTAATATTCATATTTGTTACAAGGGTTTTGTTTTACTTTTTCTGGGGTTGGGGGAGATTTGAGGGACAGAAGGTTGATTTTTGTTCATTAAAAATAATTTTTGAAAAGTGTGGGTTGAATACAGTTAAGAATAAGAAGAAATAGTAAAGTGGGGAAAAATCTTCACAAGTTTCTCTGACAACAGTCTCATTTCCAAGCTATATAAAGAACTTATTCAAATTTTAAGACTAAGAACCATTTCTCAATTAATGTCAAAGGATGTGAAGAGGCAGTTTTCAAAGAAAGAAATCCAAGTTGTCAATAGCCACATGAAAAAAATGCTCCAAATCACTAGCAATTCAAGAAATGCAAATTAAAGCAACTCTAAGATTCTACCCCACATTCCTCAGATTGGCAAGGTTATCCAAAAGAGAAAATGACAAATGTGAAAGAGATTGTAGGAAAGCAAGCAAGCACATTAATACCTTCTTGGTGAATTTGTGAATTGGTCCAGCCATTCTGGGAGGCAATTTAGAACTATGTACCCAAAGTTACTAAATTGTACATATCATTTGGTACAGTGATACCATTACTAGGCTTAGATCACACACACACACACACACACACACACACACATACACACACACACACAGATCAAAGAAAACAGCTCTTTTTGTAGTGCCAAAGAATTGTAAACTAAGGGGGTGTTTATCAATTTGGGAATATCTTCATTGTATTATATGAATGTAGTAGAAGTCATCATGCCATAAGAAATACAAAAAGAATGGTTTCAGAAAAACCTGGGAAGACTTATGTGAACTGAGGCAGAGTGAAGTGAGCAGAACCAAGAGAACAATTTATACAATGACAGCAACTGTAAAAGACTTGAAACTTCTGATCAATTCAATGACCAGTCATGATTCCAGTAGTCTGAAAATGATGAATGCTACACATATCCTGACAGAGAGATAATGAACTCAAGGAGCAGTATGAGACATATTTTACATGGCCAGTGTGAGAATTCATTTTGCTTGACTGTGTATATTTCTTATAAGACTTTTTCTTTTTTTCAATGAGGGTGAAGAGAGAAAATAAATGCATGTTAATTAAAAAGATAAAGTCTTTTAAAAAAGTAAGTATATTTAGAAACAGTAAGCTTTTTTAACATAAAGAATATAAATTATGAGGCTCCAGCTAGTAATACTAAAAATCAAAATATATCTGATAATACTTCCTCATTTCTGCCTGTTTGAAAACTTTACTCACTTCAAAGGTCAGCCCAAGTTTAACTTCCTATAAAAGTATTTTTCTGATTTGTGCAGTTATTAGAGCTCTTCCCTCCTCCTCTCTCACCCAAAATTACTTTATATTCTCCAGGGGAGCTACAAGCAAGAATGACAGAAGGACTGAAGAACTCACAGCATATATGGAGACCAGAAGAATTTCTTAGTGACTTACAAAATATTCAATTAAAACATCATTTCTGCCATGACCAAGTAACTACTATCCTACTATCTATATTCAAAGTACAGATTAGAGTCCTTTTTAGAAGAAAATGTAAAGGGGATCAAGAAGTACTTCTATACTCTGCAAATTATGAAGGAGAATGAAGGATCTCTTTGAAAAACAGAAGAAAGTAATTAATGGAACAGAGGAAATGCACAATAACAGAAAGAAATGAGCACAGTAACCCAACCCAGATATTTAAGTAAGAACTCAATATTTAACAAACTGCTGGGAAAACTAGAAAGTAATCTGGCAGAAACTAGGCATAGACCAACATCTCACACATTATACCAAAATAAGCTCAAAATGGGTATGTGATTCAGACATAAAGAGTGATATTATAAGCAAATAAGAACATTATCTCCTATGGATAGGAGAAGAGATCACATCCAAACAAGAGATAGAGAGGTTCATAGGAGGTAAAATGGATAGTTAGCATTCCATAAAATTTAAAAAGCTTTTGCAAAACAAAACCAATAGAAATTAGAAGATAAGCAGGAAACTTGGAGAAAAAGTCTTGGCAGTAAGTTTCTATGATAAAATCCTATTTCTCAAATATGTAGGGAACTGTGAAAATTTGTAAGAATAAAAGCCATTCCCCAATAAACAAATGACCAAGGTGTATGCATAGGCAGTTTTCAGAGGAAGAAATCAAAGCTGTCAGTAATCATGAAAAAACGCTCTATATCACAAAATTGGAGAAATTAAAATCAAAATAATTCAGATGCACCACCTCACATTTATCAGATTGGCTAAGATAATAGAAAAGGAAAATGATAAATGATGGAGGTGATATGGGAAAATAGGTACTTTTGGTGGAGCCATGATCTAGTCCAACCATTCTATAGAGCAATTTGGAACTATGCTCAAAAAGCTATTAAACTTGCATCATGCCCTTTGACCCAGCCATACCACTAATAGGTCTATACTCCCAAAAGGATCAAAGAAAAAGGAAATGGATCCATATGTATGATAATATTTATAGCAGCTATTTCTGTGGTGGCAAAGAATTAGAAACTGAGGGGATTCCCACTAATTAGAGAAGACTTATGTGAACTGATGCAAAGTGAAGTTAGCAGAATCACGTCAATAATTGACACAGTAGCAGAATGTAAAGATAATCAACTGTCAAAGACTTACTCTGATCAACACAGTGACCCACCACAATTCCAAAGGGCTAATGATGAAAAATGTTATCCCCCTACAGATAGAAAACTGATGGACTCAGCATGAGGATTGAAGCATTTTTTTTCTCTCTTTGTTTTCTTTTTCCCTGGAACATGGCTAATCCAGTAATTTGTTTTTCATGACTTCATATTAGTAATAGGTTTTCTATTTCTTACTTTCTCAGTGGGTAGGGAAAGGGGTTAGGGGAAGGAGAGAATTTACAACTGAAAATAAAATTGAAAAAAGAAAAATGAAAGAAGGATTCACATGTGAACTCAAATGGATTTGTAATCTCATTGATTTGAGAGTCCCCTCCAATGATGCAGGTCAAAATATATTCATGACCACCTATTTGTTTGACACATCCATATTCTCCCAAAAGTTTACTCCAGGGAGTACACCCAACACGCCAGAGACGTCCTTGATCTTTCCCATCATTTGGAAGGTACAAGTATAGCCATTCTGCCATCTACCTGTCATTCTTTAACATTACCAAGCGTGCAGTCCATCTCTCTTTACTATCATACAATTCCTTGATGACATTTTTCAGTCGTGCTCTTGCTCAAAATATCTCATTAGTTACATATTGTTGCCTGATCATATCTTCCATGCACATCTCCATTTTCTCTATAAGATGTTTATCATTAGGTCTTTGGAAGCAGTAATGTTCCACGTTGCACTGCCATGTAACAATACTGGCAAAATGTTAGATGAGCCTTTGCTCTCATTGGAAGCTCAGAGTCAGTAAAATATCTTTGCAGTTTCCTAAAAGCAATTCAGTTTGCTTTCCCCCCACCATGTATGACTCTGGACTAAACTCATTGTCCATTTGTATTGTCTGTTTCAGATACATAAAGATGGAAAAGATATACAGTAAATTCATATTGAAATCTGGGCAATATGGAAGTGTATATGCTAGATTGCACCCAGTAACTGTGTGAATATAAAAATAGAGCAAAAATAAAGACAGACTTAAATAATTTGAGAAACATTAACTACTCATGGGTGGGTTGAAGCAATATAATAAAAATAATATCTAAATTAATTTACTAATTTAGTGTTGTACCAAACTACCAAAGAATTATTTTATTTAGACAAAAAAAACCCAAAAAATTCATGTGGGGGAAAAAAGGTGGAAAATATCAGGACTAATAATGAAAAAAGCGGGAAGAAAAGAAAGGAGTCTATCAGTATGAGATTTCAAATTGCACTCAAAAGTAGTAATCATAAAAATAATTTGGTATTGGTTAAAAAAAAGAAAGCTTGATCAGTGGAACAAATTAGGTACATAACATATAGATGAAAACAAACACAATAGCAAATTATTTGATAAACTTGAAGGCTCTAGTTACTGGAGGAAGAACTCACTATTTGACAAAAACTCCAAAAATTTGGTATGGATCAGTAACTCATACCAAATATTAAGATAAGCTCCAACTAGATTCATGATCTAGATATAAAAGGTCATATCATTAACAAATTAGAGGAGCAAGAAAGAAATTTCCTTCTAGATCTATGAATAGAGGAAAAGTTCATGGCCAGTCATAGAGGAGTCACAAAATATCAGGGATAATTTTGGTTAAATTTTAAAAGGTTTGCACAAATCATAGTTTAAATTAGAAAGGAGACAGGTAAATGTGAAAAAATCTTTGCAGCAAATTTCTCTGATAAAATCTCACGTCCAAGATAAATAAAGAACAGATTCAAATTTAGAAAGCTAAAAGCCATTCTTTAAGAGATAAATGGCCAAAGGATCTGAATAGCCCAGTTTCCCAAGCAAGAAATCCAACTTATCAATAATCATATGAAAAAAATGTTCTGAATAATGATTAGAGAAAAGCAAATTACAGTAACTTTGAAAGTTCACCTCACACCCATCAGATTAGCAAAGATGACAAAAGAGGAAAATGACAAGAGTGGGAGGGGTTGTGAGAAAATGGACACACTAGTAGTGGAGTTGAGAATTGGTCCAGCCATCCTGGGAAACAATTTGAAACGATGTCCCACCAAATTACTAAATAGTATATACTGTTTGATCCAACTATACTACTGCTGGTCTACATACCAAAGACATCAAAGAAGAGGAAAAAGAACAACAAATAGTTGTAGCTGCCAAAATTATAAACTAAGTGGCTGTCTATATATTGGAGAATGACTAAACAAATTATGGCATATGAATATAATAGACTATTACTGTGCCACAAGAAATGATGAAATATATAGTTTCAGAGAAGACTAGGAAGAACACTTTGAACTGAAGTAGAGAGAGGAAAGCAGGACTAGGACAATTTATACAATGACAACAGCATCATATGGGGAAAACATGAACAATATATTTACAGGATAATTTGGAAGTAGTCTTAGAGGGAAGGTACCAAGGTTAAGTAAGACTGGAAAAGGCTTCTTGCAGAAGATGGGGCTCAGACTTAAATGAAGCCAGGGAAGCTAGAAGGAGAAAAGAATGGAAAGCATTTCAAATATGGGTGGACAGACAGTGAAAAATCAAGGAGTTGGGAAGTGGGAGTATTATGTTTTAGAAATAGTAAGCAGGTCAGCATCACTGGAGAGAAGTGAGGTGTAAGAAGACTGGGAAGGTAGGAAGCAACCAGTTAGCAAGGGTTTTAAAAGCCAGACAGGATTTGACATTTGATCTTAAGAGAGCCGTGGGAGTTTGTTGGATAGAAAAGTGTTAAGATCTGACCTTCATTTCAGAGAGGTCACATAATGATAAAAGAGAGAAGTTGGGGAGGTAGAAATGAAGGACTTGACAACTGATTGGATATGGGGTGGAGGGGGAAGTGATGTGAGGAGTCAAAGGTTGTAAGCCTGGGTGACTTAGAGGATGGTGGTACCCTGACCTCACTTCTTTTATTAGAGAACTGAAGAGGAGAGAAAGATAACAAGTTTAGTTTTGTGACATGTTGATCATTCTTTTTATTGCTTCTGGTTTTGTTGTGTCTACCTTGCTTATTTGCTATATTTTGTTGATTTCATTTTTCTGCCCTCTTCTTTTTAATCTGGCTGGCTAAAATTTTATCAATTGTATTAGCCTTTTCAGAGATCCAGCTTTCAGTTTTACTATTTCTATATTTTTTTTGTTTCTAGTTTATCTATTTCTCCTCCAATTTCCCTTTCTCTTTTGTGCTTTTTTTTTTTAAAAAAAAAGGTTTATTTGTTGTTTCTGATTTCTGATCCTCTCTTCTATTTTGTCAGTATGTGTTTTCAGGAATATAATTTTCTCCCTGAGGACTTCTTTAGGTGCATCCCAGAAATTCTGGCATGTAGTTTCATTGCTATCATTGTCTTTTCATATTAATTATTTCTATGATTTGTTCTTATAACCATTTCTTATTTAAAGACTTTATTATTCAGTCTCCATTTGGGTCCTTATTGTTAGTTTGTTTGGACTCCCTGAACTGATTAATTACTATTTTCATTGTGTTATGGTCCATAAAGGACCTGCCAATATTCTCTTAATTGCCAGATCTTCTTGTCCTCTCTGCAGCTTCTGACACTTTCGATCCCATTCTCCTTCTGGATACTCTCTCCTCACTAGGTTATTTTGTGACACTACTCTCTCCTAGTTCTTCTGTCTATCTGACCACTCCTCACCCCTCTCCAATATCCTTTGTTGGCTCTTCATCCATATTATAATCCCTATCCCTAGAGCTAGTTAGGGTGAATTCCATTTCTGCTGGCTCTATTGTTTTGCTTTGTTTTCTACAAAGGTCTTTCCAGATTTCTTTGTCTAGATTTGATGCACTGTTTGCCTAAGCCCACCATGGTGGGTATCCAGACATTGCTGTTGATGGATTGAGT